GGTGTGTCAATCGTGAGCCAAGTATCCCTCTTATGACTTGCCTATCCATAGTACTAACTTGTCCTTTACTTAGAACCTAGATACATCGTACTCATTGCGATGTCCTTCAGGGTTCGCCTTGCAGTATGGTCATGCATGTATGCTACTGTTGCTCCGTCAACTGCTCAAGCAGTCGGGTTGGCCCCCCAAGCTGTATTATACTTGAGCATCAATATTGATTTTGTTACTCTATCGTTTTGCCTGCCTGCTCTGCAAGATATGTATTACTAATAACCGTGATTAATCCATTTTGTTATACCGGAGAACGGTGGGCTGCAGCTGGTTGTAGCCAGCCGTTGCAGGTGGCGGCGCGATTGGGGCACGAACCGGAACTGGTTCTTGCAACTGCCGCAACCACTGGAGCAATTGCTACAACCAGTTGCAACTGGCTGTCGCAATTGCGACCATATTTTGGCAAATGCCACGGCGGTCTTGGCAGCCGCTGCCCTTATGGCAACCGGTTGCTCCACTGCCCGCAGGTTTTGGCAGGTTTTGGGAAATCCCGCGGTTGCAGCTGGTTTCAGCTGGCTGCGAGCAACTTGGACGTTTTCCTGACGACTGGGAGCTCTCAGCTTACGAGGCTACGGTTTCAGATTGCCCTGCATTTGAAAAGCTTCCCCACCTCTCTCAGGCCCTTGAGTTAACTCAGCGGGGTCTCGCTTCACCAAGGGGTTGATGTGCATATGTGCCACGACATGCCTCTTTGGCTGCAGCCCGAGTCGGACATTTAGGCTTCGCCTGACGGCCCTTCGAATGGGTTCGTGAACTTGGTTGCAGAGTGGACACTTGGCTTTCGGGATATTGGGTATGCCGCATTTCTAGTTCCAATAGGGTCATGGCCAACCGAAAAGCAGATGAAGGATGTTGCAGTAATCGGGCAACCTGGGTGAGCACAGATTTGGAGAAGCATGCACGCACCGTTTCAGCTGTTTGGTATGAGCGCTGAGGAGGCAGGGCAAGTGGTGGACCAGGCAATCCAAGATCTGAGTGCGCCTGGCGTGCAGGTTTCAGTCAAGTATCATGCTATGGTTGGTTTTAAATGTGCATAGAATAAAGTTTTGCGGCTTGGAGTGTTTAAATTTCCTGTTGTCGCTGGGATTGAACGCTTTTTTCGATTACTTCTGGTTCCACCAAAATGAGCTATGGTAGTGAAAGCAGCTAAACAGGCTGTGTTAACAAAATATTTAGAGGGCCCCGGGGGTGGATCCTGAGAGAGGGCCCAGAAGTAGCATTAATTCCTGAGCGAGGTGGAAAATGTGTTCAATTGATTTGTCAAGTGAAGCACGTGACCTCGGGTTCATGCTAGATCCCAGTGACCAAAAGAAATTCCATTAAATTTCACTGGTTTACCGAGGGCAAAATAACTGGACAAGTCCGGAATTGAACCGGAGACCTCCTCAAGACAAGTCACGTGACCAAGTGGACTTGGCCTTTGCGAATGAGGCGCGATAACCCCTACACTACATGCCCTTAGTATTTCTGCCAACGAGCGATATCTTTAAAGCCCTTGTCACCCTCGAGCACTCGGGAGACAAAGGAGCACGGGGCTCTCAGTCCTCGTGAGTCCTCGTTTACAATCCGGAGCTCCAGGGAATTTTACCGACGCTTTTCCATGGGGTCACCAGCCATTTGCCCCAGACGATGGTGCATCGCCAAGGGGACGTATAGCCTACAGTGTCACCTACAACTAAAAAATCGAGGCCGAGTCGACCCGCTCAAAGAGTCATCCGGGGAACTCGAAGTGTCCAAAACCGAAAGAAGCAAAGCGCAGTTAAATGATCGACCAGTGCACGTTCCTGGATCTATCGTTAGCCCGAGCCGAAGCTTTTGTCAATCGAGGCTTGGGTAGTGGCATCTGTTTAGGGTTAAAGAATTATACGAGGCAGTACCTACATAAGGACGCAGCAAGCAAAATGCCTATAGCTTGCGGGACAGACTTGAAACAAGTGAATTGTGCATAATTCACACTTGAGGCAATATTCTTTCTTTTGATCGTCCCGGGACACGTCCGGCTTTAATAGCACTTGCCGGGGCAGGGGGTCAGTCGGGCTAGCCCATGAGACAACGGCGGCCAAGGACTGAAGCATGCTGTGCAACACCTGATTTAAATAAACATCTAATCCACGCTCCAAACGCGTGAATTCACGAAATGTATGCGCTGTCGAGCGAGCACATTTTTGGCTCTTAATACGAATCTATATTTGACCGAGTTACCAATACAACGGCAAAAATATCGTAGAAAGTACGGTGACGAAGAAGGTGCACTAATACACGCGGCAGTGAGAATATAGACTTGGGGCTTCCGGTACATCTCGTACGAGCGGGGCAAACCAACCCTAAAGCAGGATGGAACGGGAGAACGGAAAGGCGAACACTAGATCTTGAGAGCATAGATGAGATGATGCTTGGCTGCAACTGCTACATTGCGCCTCGCAATATCGCCCACCGCACCTTGCACGATTTGCTTAGCCTTGAGCTCATCCAACCCGAACACCTGCAACGGCGCCTCCATGCTTTTCCAAATGTGCGTCCACGCTTGCTGAACAATTCTGCCCACCTCTTTGAGCCGTTCATCCTCGGGCCACGGGCCTGCCGGAATAATCTCCGACTTGAACCGTATGTCCCTGAACCCCACAGACCTATCCCCTTTCATGGCTCGTTTCGACTCCCACAAGTCAGAGTCTGGAGAGAGCCAGTTTGGCAAGTCGCGCCACATATGAACATCGACTCCCTGCTGGGTAAGTGCCTGGCGTGTGATCCGAAACCCTTCGCACAGTGCGTGGAGGGTACCGTGCGCAGGGAATTCCGGGTTTCGGCCGTCGAATCCATCAAGCTCGCTCTCCCCAAAGAGGAATAACCCACCGGGCTTTAAAACCCGATGGATTTCTTGAATGAAGCCTTTAGGGTCCTTCAGCTATGATACAGGTGTTAGATTTTCCTTGAGACCGAGCAAGGAGCTTACCCGCATCATCGTGTGACGTGCATGTACGACGTCAAACGTCGCATCCGGAGCAACGATCCCGTTGTAGAGATCGTACACTTCGAACGCAACATTCGGGCGGGGTATGTGAGCACACAGCGGAATGTTGTCCAAACTGACAAAATCGACGTGTGGGAATTGTCGCGACATCTCTTGTGCCCTTGAGCAACGGCAGAGGTTGGTTAGTCGGAAAGAACCTTTGGAGAAATACGCACCATGTTCCCTCGGCTGTCATCATATCCAGTACTTTCTTTCTCTGAAGGCCCTGGGTCGGAGCCAGTACCTCATCGACCGGTCCCCAGTAATTGGATTCCAAGAGCAGTTTCAGCGCTCTGTGTTGTTGCGCGCAGCGCTGAACTTCGACAGAATCGGTTGGCAGGGATATGGCCACATTGTTATCAGCAGGAAACATGCGGCCATGCGCTTCCTGGAAGAAGTCTATACAAGATGGATTTGAACCAAGTCTGAAGGATATCCGTCGCGACATAAACGCCCAAGACTTACCGTGCACATCAGAGGATGCAAGAGTGTCGGCACTCTGGCTCCCTATCGATGAAGCGGAATACATCTCTGGGTCGCTGCGCTCATCATCTGAGTTGATATCGTCGACATAGTACACTGGTGCTCCATCGAGCTCGCAAGGATATTCCATTTCAGTTGTGTTGGTAGGATGTGGAGCTGATAGCCAGTTGGGGACCGAGATGGCCGTTATAAGCCGAATAATGATCGCGTTCGCGATGCGGTGTTGGGCGATGGCCAAGTTCAAGAATCTGTGCGCAAGGCGTCCCCAGCGGCCGAGAATCTAGCGCTCATTGACGAAGCGGTAAGAGCGACCAGAAAGGCCGGGGGGTCCAACAACCTGAGAAGAGAGCATCAACAAACGGTCATGTGCCATGTGGTGTCAAGGGAGACTCAGCAAAATAACATGTCCACCCCGCACAAATTAACCAATTAGCCGGACCAATTATAGCAAAGGTCGTTAATGCATGGATGAAATGTGCCATAGCGTATACAACTCAGTGGCGACTGGTATCAGACCAAAGAGTGGCGTTCATTACTCCTCATTGCCGATCCACGCGAGTTTCGTCAGTGGCCCCTCATTTCGGTGGTATTTGCTGTCACCATTCCCCGAGCATCAAAATGCACAACGTTGCTCAGATTTTGACGGACGTGAGTCTACACGTGAAACCCGGCAAACTACTTTTGCCACGATAACCGGTAATTATCCAACCAATTACCGTGTGCAACTGAACCATTATCCGCACGACCTGTCGCATGGACTAAAATTTACGACAAGTCCCGAGTGCTGCGCCGGAGAAACTCCGAATAAATCGTGGGAACACCCAGCCATTTTTGTCGTCGAGCCTGTGGTGAATCGAGGTAGGGTGGTGTCTGAAACAGAGACCCACTCTGTCCAATGGAAATGGCCGGTGGTATTCGAAGTATCTGGCGGGTTTGATTCACAATAAATTCCGGGTTGAGCATGACACAGTGATATGTAAACGTACAGATATCAAACTACGAGACACGAAAGATCGTATAGACTGGCAAATGCCTGCCTCAGGGGGGGAGAAAAAACCAGGAACCAGAGGGAATAGGCTCTTCCAGAGTTTCAGATTTTGAAAGCATACACCGTATGAAACCTGGCGGATATTGCAACCCCAGGCCGGTTGATATCTGCCACCGCACCCTGTACGATTCGCTTTGCGTTTGCCTCGTCCTGTCCAAACAGCTGCAGCGATGCCTCCATACTCCTCCATATATGCGCCCAGGCCCGCCCACAAGCCCTGCCGATCGCTTTCAGTCGCGGGTCCTCTGGCCAGGTACCTGCAGGGACGAGGTGTTGCTTATACTCGATGTCCCTAAACCCGACCAACTTGCCTGGCTCTTTAGGCTGTGCCGACGTCCACATGTCAGAATCGGGAGCGAGCCAACCGGCCACTTCGCGACCCATATGTACCTTGACGCCTTGGTGAGAAAGTGCGGCGCGCGTTATCTCGAACCCTTCGCATAACGAGGGGAGAACTTCACTCATTACTCGTCCGGGGTTCCGAGCGTCAAAGGCGTTGATTTCGGTGTCGGCAAAGAGAAACAGTCCACCTGGCTTGAGTACACGATGAATGTCCCGGATGACGTCTTTAGGGTTTGTGAGCTGCCTCGGCGGGATATTTAGAATGTCGTGGTCTGAGGAGAATGGCAACTCACATGCATCATCGCGAGACGCAAGTGGGCGACGTCGAAGGTTGCATCCGGGGCTGCAATCCCGTTATACAAATCATATACTTCAAACTCGACGTTTGGGCGTGGTATGTGGGTCGTGAGCGGTACATTGTCCAAGCTGAGAAAGTCGACATGCGGGAACTGTAGCGACATCTCTTGAGCCCTACGCAGCGTCAGAGGTGCCGTTGGTATTACGTATTACGAGGGGACGCACCAGGAGCCTTCCGCAGTCACCATGTCTAGTACTTTCTTTCTTTCTCTCTGCCCGTGCGTCGCCGCTAGAACTTGATCGACCGGCCCCCAATAGTTGGATCCCAAGAAAGCTTTGAGTATCTGATGTTGCTCCGCACAACGTTGGACTTCAATAGAGTCGGTTGGGAGTGATATTGCTACGTTAGCATCTGCGGGGAACTTGCGGCCGTGCGCTTCCTGGAAAAAGTCTACACACAGTGTGCGGTGAGTTTAAACGAAGTAGTGGTCGCCCGGAGATAACGCTCACCATGTACCTCAGAGGACGCCAAGGTATCTACACTGCTACCAGTCGCCGATGAGTTGGAATACAACTCGGGATCGCTACGCTCGTCGTCCGAGTTGATGTCGTCGACATAGTATAGCGGTGTGCCATCGAGTTCACTTGGGTCCATTGTGGGGTATCAGCTTCGCGGGGTTGGTGTGGGTGGGGATTGACAGCACGGTTCAGCCTGTTCAGGTGTTATTTATATTCCCCCCGTGAAATGATTTCACTCGGGGGTGCTTGCCCAAATAGCTCCAATCCGTTGCCGCCAGCGAGCAAGTCCATCGGAGCGTGCTTTTAGGGAGAGAAGCAAGCGGGTTCTGCCAGTGGTTATAATGGACGGTGGCCCCACTGTTCAAACCACTAACCTCCATTAAGGTCCGAGACATGGCAATCCAACTCGCTTCCAGCCGCCCGCATCGAACACTCTCAATTGGTCAAAAATAAAGTAAGTGATTCGGAGGTGGCGATTGTGTCAATAGAACGCTGAATTTGAGGCAGTGTAATCATATGGCGGTCGTTCGAATCTCGACGGACCTTTCCCAATTCATCAAGCGTAGAAGCAGCACTTTGTAAATCAGGTGCATGTCGGTCAGCCTCATACTGAGATACCCCGCTTTACCCAGTTTGCTTTTCACCTGTTGTGTGCATTGTAGGAGCCGACCAAGTGGTGAGCGCTGGCTCGGCCTTTTTTGTGAAATTACTCCGTCAACCGATTGATCAGGATCACGGCCCAGGCCTTGTTCGGGACCGAAA